CCATATCCACTGTACTTTATTATTGCTAGTACTTGAGCTAGTTAGCATACTTGTGCTGTGATTTCATGGCTTATTCGATTAGAATGGGCAGACCAATTCATTTGCTCTTGACTTTCAAATTTTACAGTCTTTACTGCTTTTCCGTGGTATTATGTAATAACACTCCAACTCAGTGAGAACTTGGAGGATGCCTAGAACTTCTGGGGAAATCATCTTAGTGAGATACTTTTATGAGTAATGAGTGTTCTTGAATTATAAGGTAAAATCGCCACAACGTCAGATGCATAAATTAATGTTCAGTGTTGTACTTTACTATCAATGATATGAAAAATATTTCCACAGTTCTGTTGCTAGCTTCTGTCACATGAAGTAGAACAGTTACTAACTCCCTATATATATATATATATGCATCTATCTGTCTATTTATGTATTTATCTATGCATCTATCTATGCATCTGATAGTTACTCTTTTCTGATGACATCCTGAAAAGACAAATGAACATTGTGTTCTCTGGTGTAATAGTTATTATAGTAGTTATTCCCATCAACTCAGTACTAGTGAAGATTCACTGGGAATACTGTCTCCACTTGGATCTCCAGAACAATAGAAATGCTGGCAAGCAGCAGAAAATCTAAAGAATGTTGTTAGTACAGCTAGGGGTCTGGAATATATGCTGCAATAGAAGAGACTGTATAGTGTAGCCTGAAGAAGAGAAGGCTGAAGATGGATCAGCTTTTCACTACCTGAAGGGAGAAACTGTAAAGGAGAATAGAGTTCTGACTCCTCTTGGATGTGCCTCCATTGATGATAGAGTTTGACAAGTACAGAAGATGGTCACACTTGGAGGGATTCTGTTGGGATAAGGGCAAGGTGTGTGAGAGTGGTAAAATGTGAACTCATTGCCCAGAGAGCTCTCTAACCCTGGAGACAGTCAGATCTTGGCGGTATAAGGCCTTGAGCAAGCACATTTAACTTTATGTAGGCAGCTCTGTTTAGGGCAGGAGCTCATATTCCGAAACCTTCCTCCAAAGGCACTTCAAGTCTAATTTTTGCCACGATTCTGTTATGTCAGTTGTTAATGTTATGGTTGATTCTGTCCAAGCTGTACATCATTTCTGTGGTTTGTATGGTTATTGGACAGTGGTGAACCACTGAGAATAGAAGAAAAAAAATTGGGTTTTTTGACTTGAGAATTGGATGCCCTTCTATGCTAGCTGCAAATTGCAATTGTTTGCACAGAGTTAGAGCTACAATTCAATTCCAAGCAGCTTAAAAAAAAAATAACCAAGCCAACTAGATGACTTTAAGAAGAAGCAATGAATCATACAGGAAAAAATCAGGCATAAGTGATAAACTGGGTGCTACACTTGTTTCTTTTTTGACTCTTTAAAAATGTAGAGGGAGATAAATGCCCAGAATTACCATTTCCTTTCTGAATTTAAGCAGTAATCTTTCCCTCATTTCTGCATTTAATTCTTTTTGTTATTTAAACTTTCTCTGCAGTCTTCTTGAAAAATATTGAGTTCTGGAATCAGTATTCTGTTAATAAATAACTGCATAAGTGTCAAATAGAGAGACAAAATAATTCCTAAGTATAGTAATTTGTCTGCTGATAAGTTTAAAAGGTTTTTTTCTGTTCTTTTTATCATCCTTCTACATTAAGAGCTTCATTTTGACCATATGCAATGACTACTGTTTTACTGGAAGCTACTTTAGGCATAATTTATCATTCTGTGATAATTACCCATATTCTAGTTGTTCATTTGCAGTGTGACAGCACTTGAGTTTCAGGGAATGACTGTAACACACTAATGTGAATGAATACTGATTTTTCTGATTGTCTGGAGAACATGTCTTAGCCTGAGAAAGAAGTCTATCCTTGGAAATTTCGGTCTGGACCAATCCTTAATTAAAGCTGCTTAATATTAAAAAATCAAGCATTACTGCCTGTTAACAACAGCAAAGGTTTTCTAAGCTATGACTGGAGATATTAACAGCTTTTTAATGTTACTATTATATATTTGGATTTATATATATTTGGATTTCAATGACTTAAATGATTTCCAGTCCTACTTAATGCCTCATGTGTCTTGATTGACTATTAGTTTGTGTTGCAGTGAGGACAGCTGGTTAGTAATTTTGTGTACTGAGACTATGGCTGACATTGTTCTTGTGGATTTGTTACCTCTTACTATTTCTACATATATGTACATTTTCAAAACTTTTTGTAGATTTATGCTGCTACAGATACAACAATATCTGTTGTACTGAAGACTGTCTGTCTGTTTAGATGTGCACTGGCTGCATTTCTAGTAAATATTTTATAAATATAAATGATAACCAATATGTTTCTTTCAACTGGATCTCTCTTCCATTACTTGGTTATTAACTTTCTGATTATTGACATAAAATTTAGAGAAAAAGGATTTTGTTTCTTGCTTGTGGCAAACGTATAAAAAGCTCTTATTTAAGTAATGTGATTAGTAGTCATTTGAAACTTTTCTGCTATCACTAATCTAATATTTCTGTTTGATTTTTATTACCATTAATTGAAATACTGTTTTTCAGATACGAACATCTCGTCTTTTGCAAGTACTGATTTTGCTAATATAGAAACTTTAACGTATTGGTCAAGCACTTTCTTTAAAACAGATCACGGAAAACAAAAGTGATTGTTTTTGACTGCATGGGAACATAGATGTTACATAGCCTGCATAACAGTCTCTAGAAGGAGGGGGATATGCATGTGAAGTGCTTCTGCTGATTGAACTCTTCCTTGGTTACTGGCTTGAGCAAAATTCAGTTTTGATTGTTAAACTTCTGCCCAGTAGCTTTCTGCCTTTGAGTCCTATCTAGTCAATGCTCTAAAGGTTGTTATTTCTTGTAGTATTGTTAATAGCTTCCTTATGTCTGCTTCATATAAATGGGAGGTGCTGATACAAAAATGGGAGAATTATTAATTCTTTTCCTCATGTTTTCAAAAGAATTTGGGGAAGATTGGGTGCCTTTTTTTTTTTTTAAGCTTTAAATTTGAAGTTTTCTCCTACTGCACGTATTTTAAAATAATTTGGAATTCTGGCATTAAGCCAGTGTGCTTGATGCTAATAAAAGCTCTTGCTAGGTTGTATGTATTAGTGTACATGCAGACTGGATAACCTTTTTCCTGCGTTCTTTAAAATTTTGGGGTAGTTTTATTACACCTAAGTCAGCTTTCTGTAATTAAAAGAAGAAAAAAAAAATCCAGTATCCATGTAAAGTTGTTTGAAGTATAGCAGTAGAATGTTGAGGATCCCTTATCTTGGATGTCTTTAGATAATGTTGTACCTACACTGCATATGTGTCTTAAGACCTCTGACTCTTGTATGAAGGCTACTCCAAAAGTAATGCCTCCTGTTTTATTATGTTGGCCCACGACATCAGATGTAAATGTTGATGGTAAGACAATAGAGGATGAAGCTCTACTGGCATCAGTTTTGAAGCGAACTACATACCTTCCTGCTAGCAGAGCTCATGAGAAGGCTGCTATTATTCTTTGCTCACTGTATGAGTAAATATCTGACTCTGTAGGCTGAGGTTCCCAAATGTATGTTTGCTTGGGCAAAGCCAGCTCCTGGGTCATTGTTGTCACAGCTGAAGTCTCCAGCGGGTTTGCTGTTGGGCACTTTGCAACTCAGGCAAGTACTTGCCCAGAGGTGCTTGCTGCTAATCAGGAAAGAAGGGTGTGGAAATACTTTCTGAGATAGGTATCAGGAAATGCTGCTACAGAATACCCAGCAGAAGTTCTACTGTTTCTGTGAAACTTTGCCATCTTCAGCCAGGAAAAGCAGCAACTCAGGAGTTCTGCTCTGTATATTCTCTGCATCCTTCAGCGCACTGACAGAAGTCTGGTACTGTATGCTCAGGAGAAGCAAATCCCAGATTATTTTAGTTTTCTGCAGTTGCAACAATTTTGAAAGCTGGAAGCTTTGATTTGTGAGCAGATTTCTCAATTTGACCTTGACTCACAGTGGTTGAATTCTCTAACAGTATTCTCTCTGTCGTTGTTCTGAGACTCAGCATTGCTCTGAGGAAAGAATGTGATACCACGTTCCTGCTGCAGACCCAGCTGCTGTGTTTTGTGCCTTAAATGTTAGGGCCCATAAGGAAACTTATCTCTTGCTCCTCTCTTTTTAAAGCTGCCTGTCAATGAGGTTAGTGGCAGCTTTATTCATCGTAGCCCTTTGTATTCCTTTCTGTTAATTTTTCTATTGGTTTTCTTGAATAATTGATTTAAATCTGTTAAAAATAAGTAAAATAAAAATTATTACTTTAGACCTGTGTTGACCTTAACAAACTGTAAGCACAATATACTATTCAGTTCTTGTATTGTCTGAACAGGATGAAAATGGTGTGCTGCCTATCGCTGTTTTGCTAAACCTAGTTATATGGATAATGTTTACAAAAATGTTTTTCAAACAAAATTTTATTTCCAAGCTGCCTTGTGAAACTGACAGTATACTTTCTGATTAGATCATGCATCACTGGGGATTATTTTAAGACTTACATATCCAAATGTAAACCACTTGAGAATTTTTTTGCCTGCTTTTTAATTAACCCATGCTTTGCACCTATAGTTCACCTATAGTTAGGAACAAGTGGGCATTTTTAACAAACTGGGAGGCAGTGTGCACCAGTACTAGCCAAGAGTGTAGATGCAGACACGATTAATTGAGGTAGTGGCTCATTATTTCTCTAGCACTGGGAGATGTGATGTGACTTAAACTGAAAGAGAAACCTACTAGAAGTCGTCATGTCACCATTTTCATAGGAAAATGCAGATGGCTTTTCTCTGGCTTGAGACTAGGGAAGAGAAATATGGGGAAAATAAATTTGTACAGACTGAATTCCTGTAAGAAAAGTTTGCATTTGCATGCAGTTCCAATCATGCCTTATTTATCTCTTATAGCTGAAGAATTAGGCATGTTACTAGTATTAACAAAATCTGCTTTTACCTTCACAGATAAATTTGAGCAATTTTGGGCTATAAACCGAAAACTCATGGAGTATCCTCCAGAAGATAGTGGATTTCGGTACATCCCATTTAGAATTTATCAGGTAGGAGATAACAAAATAAAAGCAATTTTATCAAACTCTGCACCTAAGGTGTCTTATGTCATTATCTTGGCTTTTCATAATTATACTTTCTCTTTTCTAACGTTAAGGTGAAAGTTTGTATGAATTAGTAAAGACAAGCTGGATTGTGTTTATTCTAATAGGTAATTACCATTCACTGTGTCGTGAGTAATATTTGAGAATGTGCTAAAGCTAGTATAGATGGTAGTTCAATATGTAAAAACTAAACATGGGGACTATTTTGGATGCAAAATATGCTTTGAAATGGCTGAACGAAACACTTGAAAATCAGCACTTTTTCCTTTGACTGCTGTGTAGGCTTCTTTTCTTGCTGGTGTTACAAAGAGAAATTTAGAGGCATAGATCTTGTGTCCAATTCTTACCTTTTTTCTTTTATTATATACTTTACAATATCAAATAATCTTTGATTATTTTTTTCTCTGATGTAACTCTCCAGTGCTGTTTTTCATAGAATCATAGAATCTCTGTTTGTAAGGATTCCAAGGAATACATCTCAGTTTTTTTATGTCCCCTTTGTTTTCATAGCATTATGGTCATGATAAACTTCAGAACTAAGCATGGTTAAAAGCTATGTAGTCTCCTATCAATTAGAATTCTTCTCTGATCTGGCTTTGATGCATTTTCAGCTGTTTACATTTGTTTTACACCTGGTACATTAAAAAAAAAATCTCGTGAATCATCTATTACTGCTTTGTAACAGATTCTAATGGTAAATTAAAATCTGTAAAAGACTATCAATGTTGCTATGAGACTGAAATATTTTTTAATGTTAGATACAAGACACTTACTGTCATAGTGAAACCTTAGGTTGAGAACGGAAATCAGTTATTTTGGTCAGATATCATGGCAGATGACAAGGTTAGTCTAGGTATCAAAAAGTATGCCTCAAGAAAAGCACTTTGCTCAGCATTTCTGTTTGACAACTGAATTGTTATTCTCTCATAGTTTTTTGTTTAAGTCTTTCTGTAAAAACAAAAACACAAACACAGCACATGCATGGATACATCAAGTGAAAATTTTGTTTTTTGAATAAGATAGAGGACTTAAAACTTGAGTGAAATTTTGATATTGCATGATATTTCGTGCTAGTAAAGTTTTCTTAAAAAAAAAAAAATTTGTTTTCTGTTTTTATACTTCTACTCAGTAGTGCTTATCTTCATGTTAGCTTTTTCAGTTGGAAATCTGTACTTGATAATAGTTTAAACCCCAAATATCTGATTAAGAATAGAAGACCAAACATAAATAAAGATGATGCTGAGACAGCTTTTGAGAAAGTTGCTTTGTATTATTTTCAGTGCTGACGTTCTTAACATTTCTAAATATTTTCAGTAATGTTCCTCTTTCTTAAAAGGTGGCTGCAGGTGTTTCTAGCTTTTTTTGTTTGTCTTGTTGCTTTGTGCATTGACAACTGCTCATCATAAAAGGTGATGTTAGAGGAATTTTCAGAAAGCGTGAAAGATGAGATGATAATTTGATTCCAAACAGGAAGTTAATTTCTATAATTTCAACATAAATTTACTGTACTCAGTGACAGACTTGCATATACTGAAATAAATGAATCAGAAGTATTCTTGAAATCTATTTAACCTCCATCCCAACAGCATTCACATTCTCTTATTGTTAGGAAAAGTCAACTTTGCATTCTAGTTTGTTATTTTCATACTCCTTCATAAATATCTGACAGTTGTGTTAGTCTGGGTTTGTATTAAACTTGTATTAAAGCCATTCATCCCTTGCATATTCTTATACAACAGTTCTATTGATTAAATAAACCTGTGCAGTTGGATTACAGGAACTTACTAGACATTGCCTTCAATGGGAAGAATTCCTCCTCTTCTTCTCCCTACCTTCCATTATCCCCCAAATATTAGAGGAAAATTCTATGAAGGGAACTGTGTAGGGAGTGGTGGTTGGTGGGTTCTTTTTGGCTATATATGAGTTTGTTTTCCTTCAGAGAAATGTGCTTAGTTGATAGCTAAGAAAAAGCATCTTTATGACTCTTAAAAATGCAGAAAAAAAATGCAATAAAGATCTGATATCAGAACTTCATTGGAAAGTATATCTTCAAAACTCAAATGCTCTCTCATTTATAAAGCTTGTCTATTAAAAAGCATTTCTAAAGAATAATATGAATCATACCTCTTGTGGTATCCAAATATGATGGTGTGTAGGGGAGAAAGATGGCAAAAATACTAACATAGTACTTGGGTAAGTCAGAACTAAACTAACCACAGATAATTTTAAGCCCTTGTCCAGCGCTAACTCTTTCAAGAGCAGCAGGTAAGATTGGACTGGAATCCTAGCATCTACCATAGAAAATGAAGAAAAAGATTGCATGTCACTGATGCAGTTTTAAGTTAGCTAAGAGATTTAGCAATTTTTATTGCAACTGTCATAGTCCAAAATGTATCTTGAGGAACTTGTACAGTTTAAGCTTTGACATAGGTGGAAACTTTTTCTACCAGAGGTATTTTAAAAGCAGTGACTATTTTTTGGTGTCACTTTTACTTAGATGTTTCAAAAATAAATATGTCTCACATCATTTCTTCAGAGATATAAGCTACTGCCTTCAAATGACAGTTGCATAAAACCTTTTCTCTGATAATACTTTCGAATAGAATGCCTTTTTCATTTGAAGGGAGAAAATAATCACAATGCTGTGTGTGTATCATGCATCAAGAGTGCTGCTTTTCTGGTATGGTACTGTAGCTAGTTTGTCTTGAGGTCACAGTCCCTATGTTTAAGATTAGTGGGCTTTGCATTTTACAATTGGACATACAGTGAGGCTGATAATTGACAAGAAGTTTCCTTCGATCTGCAATAGGACCTCTGGCTCCAGGCACTGAAGTGGTGCCTTTTAGTCAGGTGCTGATAGACTGGCCTGGTAAACCACTGCATGCTGTCTTGCGTTGCAGATGGGAACACTGTCTCATTGTTGTTGTTGTGCACCTAGTCTGTAGTCATCCTGGAGTTTTGATATCAGAGAGTCACGCCAACTCGCCCGCACTCTCACCAGGTCATTCTCACCCACTTGTTCTTGGTTGTGCTCTGCATGTTGCTTCCTGTCAATCTCTCGCCCTCCTTCCCTCTGTAGTCTGTCCTAAGAGTCTTGATGTCATGATTAGACTTGACAGTTACAAATTGTTGTGGTGTACATTTGCTTTTGTAATGTACTTGAAATTCACCATGCTTTGTAAAATACAGGTTTAACTGAGCACTTTGCTCTTTACGTCAAATGTGTGGCTTTGAGATGTCTAAATAGATTTTAGATTTAATTAATATTTAGATAATAGATTGTCCAGTTTCTAAGTTTTACATTGCCTTCCACCTCTGTAAAGCTTTCTGACTTTCTGACCTATGTGTTCATTAGCAGTAAATTGCATAGCTTCACTTTACTTAATGAAGTGCATCAGTGGAGCTCTTCAAACTTGCTTACCAGTGCTGAAATTGTTTTGTAGTCTTTTTAAACACCAGCTGATACTTTGAAAATCTTCAAGATTAGTATTGAAGTTCAGGCAAAATAGAGACAATCTGTAAAGTGTTTTGATTGAAAACCCTGTAGAAATAATACTTCAAGTTTAGGTAGGATAGAGTTAGCTGCTACTTGAAACTACAGATTGGCAGTTTTACCTTTTGTCATAAGACTGTTCAATATCTAGTCAAGCAGGACTAAAACCATGACTGCTACTGACCTGAAGAGGGCAACACAACATAGCCGGTTTTGTTGACATGCAAAATGCTCTTGAATATGTTTCTATGTAAAACCATATCTACCTTTATATCTCTTAATGTCTTTTTGTAAAGAACTCACTGGTAATAGGCTGATTTACTCCTTCAAAATTTTTCTTTTACAAAGATTGAGTAGATAACAAAATAATGTGAAATGGTCATTGATTTGTCTGAATTTCTGTGCTTGAAAGGAGAAAACATTGCTGGTTAATCAGCAATTGAGTACACAGAATGGCTATACTAATAGCTGGTAGTTCAGCATCGAAGAAAGAGTAGCATATTTTCACCAGTTTTAAATTACTTCAAAAATGAAAGCTCTGTGAATGAGAAAGTTTTTAAGATTTGGGCAAATATGCTTCATAGGGCCTCAGGAAAGGAAAGTTCTGTGGAAAATTCTGCATGAGCAGGAAGATTCATAACCTACTATGCAAATTTGTTTACTGTGAAGAGACTTTATGGAACCTATGTGCAAGATCAGCCTTGTGTCTTTAAGAATCTGTGCAGCAATGAGGGCTGTAATCAGAGTAGAAGAAAAATTCTGAGATTATATTTGCTGTCAGATGGTAACTAAAGTTTATGTAAATATGCCTGAGCTGTCTGTAAAGCTGTCAATCTAACTAGTTCAAAGCTGTTGTAGAAGTTGCATAAGATGTAGGAGGGAAATGCAGAAGAGAGGAGGCTATAAAACCTCCATTTGGGTATTTTCTCTGAGCCATGGTTGAATTGTTACCATGCTTGATAGTTTTAAGTTACCTTGGGTTTGTAGGAGCTATAGTAATACTTCTGAGTTGAATGTAGACATACTTTGCATAAAAATAATATAGTATTTGCTAGTATGAAAAATAGCTTCTCCAGTTTCTGAAGTATATAACTAGTTCAAGACTATTTAGGGATTTGCTGTATTCCACCTGTTGGGGAAAATTGGACAATAGTTAATTTTAAGTCCTTTAACAGATACTCTTAGGTCCTGGAAGAGTCTGAGTGTACTGAAAAATCAGCAGCATCCCAGCAGTTAATAAGTTCACTTTTAAATAATTATATCAACTTATTTTTTGTTAGCAGAATGTGAATCACATTTTAAATAGTGATGAAATAATTAACATTTTTGATGGGGAAAAAGATTGCCTATTCCTGACTTGAAAATGTGATCATTGTTCCAAATATCTTATGCACTCCTTAATCACTAATTGGTAGGTTACTTCATAAGCTATTTTTGCAGAATACTTAATTTG